AATTTTGAATAATAATATATTAATTGTGAGAAAAACTTGAAATAAACAACAACAGTTGTCAATGAAGTAAGTACTAATTTCACATGACATTCTAAGATGAATAAAATTGGAATTTTAAAATCTACACTAATGAATGCAATCAAGTAAGCGGAAAACAATAATCCCGAAAACGTTAATAATAATTTTACTAATTAAATTTTCCATGCTCAGTAGGATTGTGAATAGGGAAGAAGTTTAAACAGTGCAGAAGAGTATCATATAATGATCATTTTTAAGAAATGAAAAATAGATAAACCTTATAAAGAGAATTATTCTAACAAGTGATTAGGGATTTTAGAGTAAATGTTTCGAACAAAAGTGATGGTTGAGTAAAATAACAAATAGTGAACAACTGTTGTCTGGTATAAATGAAAGCTAGACGTCATGATATAGTGTTTGTTCTTTCACGTATGCTTTGATCAAAAGGATTCTTCTTTATCCGATTTAGGTCAGACAAAGCTATTCAGATCAGTTTTATCAGCCACAAATAATATTCAAAATTTTTTGAAGAATCGAAGGCAAATAAATAGTTGAAATCATTAATCGATCATTGATAGACCAATATTGGAAACCTGAAAGCACTGGACGGCCGTTTCGTCCTAATATGGAATTTATAATGGTACACATCCGCGCTCCCCGATTGTAGAAATCAAACTCAGGGCCCTCAGTAACGCACACAAAATCTTAAATATTAACACCATTGGATACCGGCTCAGTGGTCTGGAGGTTGATCATTCGCGCATGATACCGAAGTTCCTGGGTTCAATTCCCATAGTAAAACGAAACGACCGTCTAGTGCTTCCAGATTTCTAATGGTGATCTAACAATGACCGATTCATGATTTCAATGAAACTCAATCTTCACAACTCTTTGATGGAAAAAAGAATAATTACAAAACATTACGTCATTCATATTTGGAACTCCTCAACACATTGCATTTACAATATTGTAAGAGATTTAACTAAGCAACATTGATGTCGTTTCATTAAAATGTCACTAGTGGACCTTAGAGTTAAAGTCAAATTGTTGATATTTCAAGTACAGCGAATTTGTGATCGATATCAGTTATCTTTAATTAGATAGTTCATTAACTATAATTTACTTGATTCTCTAAACTTCTTAATTAAAAAATCCGCGATAAATCAGTGAAAAAATTTTCAGTTTCCATTGGTTCTCTCTCTGACATCACAGTTAGTAATAAAAATTACCTCTACACATTATGTGAATATTTCTACGAATCCCTTATACTGACAATGATTACCCATTACTATCTACATTTACAGTTACCTCCATTATAAAACTATGAGTTTATTGAAAAAGCATTTCAGAAATACTGATTGTATGAATTCACGCATCAATATGTAGAGTAGTGGAAATAATTAGACTTTTACTAAACATGAACCGTTCTGATCACTTGTAAACTTTTGCATTTCGATTAAAGCACTGTGAGTATTTTTAATTATTAGTGTCATACTTTTACAATTCTGCATTTTGTAAATTAAAAAATAGATCACTTTTATGATTTTACATAGTTAAGAAACATTTGAAGCAGAAATGAGGTATTTATTTGACAAAATAATCTGTAGAAATCAAGTCGTATTCGGAAGATCATTAATTTACATTTTGAATCATAGGCAAAAACTGAGCTACCCAACTAGCCAGCCATATAGTAAGATAGCTACCATAACCCAGATATCGATTTTGTGTATTATTCACTAAAAACACATTACCATTGATCGTTGTCAGATATGATTTGAATTTATCATTAACAACATTTATAGGTATCATAAAAATTTTTGAGTTTGAACAAAAACGATTAAAATCATTCATTTTATTTGTTATTAATAAAATTTATAACATCAGTCGAACATTTAAGTCGTTTAAATTATTTTAGGTAGTACAAGCTTAACTTCTGTTTGATGTTGTCGTAGACATGCTGCTAGATATAACCTTATCCTCGTCTGAATTTTCAGGAGTAGGCCTTTTACATGGTGGCTCGCTTATTGACTTAGAATATGCCGATGACATAGTTCTATTTGGTGAAAACGCTGACAAAATGCAGAGTCTTCTGACCACCCTAAGCAACAATGCAAGCATTTTCGGGATGCGGTTCTCCAAGTCGAAATGCAAAATGTTGCTTCAAGATTGGGTTGCATCGGCACCTGAACTAGTGATAGGGAGTGAAGTAGTCGAGCGTGTAGACCGCTTCGCTTAACTGGGGAGTCTCATCAGTGCTGATGGCCTGGTGACTGACGAAATCTCAGCTCGGATACAGAAGGCTCGATTGGCTTTTGCCAACCTGAGTCACCTATGACGCAGGCGGGATATCCGCTTGCTAACCAAAGAACGAGTGTACGGTACAGCAGTTCGTTCTGTTCTACTAGACGGATGAGAAACATGGCCGTTAAGGGTAGAGGACTTCTGTAGGTTACTAGTCTTCGATCATCGATGTCTCCGAAGCATTGTTCGTGTATCCTGGGACAACCGTATAAGCAATGCTGTCGTTAGGAAACGAGTTCTAACTAGGGATGGCAATTCAATAGATGAAGTAGTGAGACTTCATCATTTGAGGTGGTTGGAACATGTGTTACGTATGGCTAACCACCGACTGCCCCGACGAGCTATGTTTTGTGGTGTAGGAGTAGATTGGAAAAAAGCTAGTGGCGGCCAAACCAAAACATTGCAGAAATCCATGAAGTCACAGACAAGTGGACTGAGTCATGTTGGTATACGTAGGCTACGTGGTTGGGGTCCTCGAGATGAAAGTCACCAATGGTTAGAGACCTTGAATGACATAGCTCAGAATCGTTTGCAATGGCGCAGGTGCATTCATTCATTGTATTCTCACAATTTCTAACATTCTGAATTCCTCATAATCTCTATCTTTCTCCTTCTAAATTTATCTCACTGAATTTCACTTCTCGAATCATAACTTCACTCCGTAATCTTCTGCATTACTAATCGCTATCAGTCTTGGATTTGAACTGACAGTTGCGTCTCTGTGCAGACGTGGTATGCCAACCGGAACCGATGTACTTACGTCTGTCTGTATTTAAAGTCTAGTCTAATTCTCTCTTTTCTTTTTTTGCCAACAAAGCGTAGTTATGTATAATTTGACAATGAATGTGTTCAAAAAAATTAAGTTTCACTGCAGTTGTATTTATTCCAATGACAACTTCTGTCTACAATGTCAACATGAACTAATGAGTTCAGGCTAGATTAGGGCTGTGTATTGTAGTATCCTGTTAATTACTGAAAAAAATGAATGGAGCTTGACTAATTTGTAATTTTCCTTGGGTAATTAACAAAAAAAATTTATGGCTACTGAATTTATTTTAGAAAAAGAAAACTAATAAAATTGCAGATTTTATGCTTCAAGATAAATTTTCCAGAAAAAAGGAATAAAAGCTCTCAGTTATTTTTCTTCGTGACATGAAGTATTTATTCAATTTCATGATGTAAAATCTCATGAAAATTTTCAGCCAAGTATATTCCTTATATTATTATTATTATTATCAGACAATCATAATTTTCTTCTCTATAATTTCATGCATTAAGTTATAAGTAATATATATATATATATATATGCACTTGTTTCCAAAAAATGTTGATAGTGATTTTCAGTCTAGAATTTGATTCAGATAATAAATCAAGAAAAAAAACATTGTAAAAACTGTATCTGTTTTTTTTAAAACTGCCAAAAAGTTGAATTATTGAAAACAGTATTGTTGACTAGTCATTGAAAGTTGATAAACAGTGTGATTACATGATCAATGTTAAATTTTTCGAATATTTTTTTTCAGTTTCATATTATTATAGAAATATGAAATGTTACTACACTACACTAATACTGGGAAGTATTAGTTACATGCAGCACTATCCATTACTTCATGATTTCTCATATTTTTATTGAATTCTTCATGAGTATTTACTAATAGATTGTTTGAGTTATTTGTTTAAAACAGCAATTATATTACCAATGAGAAATGTATTGAGCCTGATTGAATATTGTGTGTGCTGTTACGAAACGACCTATTTTTATATTATGAGATGTTGCTAATAAATAAAATATTTATTAAAAAAAACTAATTATTTTACCTTGGAGTTTTTTTTTAATTAATCAACCGTTATGTCATATTGTGGTGCTGTGGTGCGAGCTACTTATAAGTAGTATATGACGTGAGCTTCAACGTAATGTCTGGCAGCCAAATATGGTGGGAAGATCAAGAAAGGAAGAGTTAGAAAACAACGGAATTTGTATGAAACGCATGAATAGTGACAATGGATTGATGTTTTGCAACGGGAACAGTCCAGTTCGATATGATGAACTGATATTTTGCAAATGAACGATTTACGATATGGTTTTCTGATTTTACTGAGTAATTCTGTAATTTTCGTTAAATACAATTCGGTTGCCCCACCTGTGTTCTCTTTCACTACAATATTAGTATGTTGATTGTATTTTTAGTCATTTCTTGCAAACTATACTCAAGTTATGTAATGAATGAAAATATGTTGTCTAAAATTCTGAGCAGAACAATAAAATTTCCTGAACGACTTTATAGATGAATGTTTTGAAGACTCTTTAGTTATGTTATCGAATTCTGTACAAATTAAAAGAATTCTCCTGCAAATTGTAATTAAGCTGGAGTACAATTGTTTAATAGTAGTGAAGAAATATATCAGTGAAATGTCAGTCGGTGGATTTATCTTTAAAAAGTGAAACTAGTAAGTATCTAGAACTATAGCAGTCCACCAATCAATCAACTAAGTCAACTTAATATAGCCTGTGAGGGACTTTCTAAAATTTATTTAGTTATAAACTAGACTACTTAAATGGTAATACTGACTAGAAAGACATTAAAATTTGACAGTTCAATGAAATTTTCTTTAAAAAAACTTGAATACTGCTTTTATAGGTAAAATAGCTATTGAATATTATGTTAATAAGATAATCTTACTTGTCTTCCACTTGTATCTGCTGAACAAGTAGTAATAAAATTGACTTTATGACTTCGATTCAATACTGGAGTGAATGTCAGTGGCATTGTATTCAATCTTTCAGAGTTGGGATAATTTGTCGATGAAGTTAAAACATAAGTTTGGTTTGTATTATTCAGTGTGTTGACATCACCATTGGGTAAATTTACTAACAAATCTAAAAAGTAAAAAAAACAAAAATAAATATCAATTGTATTCAGGAATTATTTGAATATAATATCAAACATTGAATTTTGAATGTCAAATGTGAAGAATATATAGTTTAAGCAGTATTACTATTTAACTGTGTTTTAAATAGGTGAGTAGACTTGATTATCAAAATGCAAACTACTTTCATTGGATCATATGCTGAAATTTTCCATCTTGAAAGTCATTTGCATGTTTACATGTCAAAGATACTTAATCAATACATTTTATTTTGGGTAGATTGTTAATGCGCTATGCTTCCATTCTAATGACATCCTTATTTCAATATTCAAGTATATTTTTTTCTACTATGTAAATGGATTTTTATTGATGTCAGAAAATGTCATATCTGAATTGTGTTCAAAATATTGTCATTTAAACTGAATGAAAAGAGATAAAACTGAATATATTTTACTTTACGTAATTTGAACATTTCCATTTCATTTGATTATTTGGAAATGATGCATGATATCGTTACTAGATGCATATACAAATATAATTCCGACATTCGAACATGTGACTGATTTGTCTGGTGATAAATTCATCAATGTTTTTTATACATTTCGTATACATTTTATAGTTGAGTAGTTGTTAATTTGGATAACGATATATTATAATACTAACGATATATATTATTTCTAAGTAATAAGTTAATCATATGAACTATTCGAATATGAATTAAATGACACTTATTATACATTTAAATCATGAATAATTGATTATTAGATCAACATTAGAAACCTGAAAGCAATGGACTACTCTTTTTTCCTAGTATAGTACTCATCAACCCTGAGTATCCACGACTCCCGATACTTGCAGGATTCGAACCCAAGACCTTCGGCCTTGAGTGGTAACGCTCAAACTCTAGACCACTGAGCCAGTATCCAACGGTGTTATTTTCTAGCTCAGAACAATCTAAGGATTTCGCGCAACTTCACGTATTGTCTTCGGTAGTTACAGCTTCCAGGTTTCTAATGGTTGTTAAACAATGATTCATTCATGATTTCAATGTAAAACGGCGATCTTCATAATTCTTTAATGCAACACTCATGTTCTTGTTACACTATTACAACTCTAACTTGACAATATGTAACAGCATATAGTAACAGAATGCCAGCACTAAATAATATCACTTGAGTGAATATAATGATTACAATGACAGAAAAGCAAATATCTATATTGTAGACCACTGATGAGCATTATTTCTTAACTATTAAGAAGAAGCTTAGAGACTACCCAGTTTATATGAAAACGCCTTATCCATTTTTAACAATCATTTCAATCGTGTTTAGAGAGAATAACATGTGAATGTGTATAAGGTTTTTGAAAGATACTGTTTTATGGATTTCTGATAGAAACAAAAGTTTTAGTTAGAAAATTAGGATTTCCATTAATGATAAACCACTATGAATTACTTCACTGTATCTAAGTTGATGTCCTGTTTCAAGGAAATGTCTCAAGATGAGACAACTGAATTCCTGTAGTCCGACTGACTTTAAACATTTCTTTGAGCTTTTAAATCTGACTTAGACCCTGATTTCTAGTCTATCAATTTAACTAACTGCCTTGGCAAATTAATATGGATTTGTATATCCAGTTGATGGTCCCATGAAAGGGATAATATAGCTTTGTAAGCAGTTGACGAGAACTTTGTGAAATAAATTAAATTCATTACATTGTGTATCAAGTTTTGCTTTTGCCCTCCTTGTGGAATAACACTACATGTTATTTTAATGTTAGCACAAGACAATTTAAAGAACAACGTTTTTGATTTGAAAAAAACTTATTCCTACATACATTAGTAATTGTCAAAAAATGAACTTAACAAATTTTCAGATTAATTATCTGAAAGAAAAACAAATCACTTCAAAATTATGCGAGATTATTACATAAACATGTTTTTTTTTTAATTTTCGACAAACAAGGTATAAATGATGTAGAAGATATCGCATTTACATTAAATAAGATTGAAGTCTATTTAGATCTGTCAACTGAATATAAACTGATTGTCTAAGATTGAATCTACAGGATGATATTTACTTGTATTTCATGTGATTAGGTTAGAATAGTTTATTCGTTAGTTGATGTCTTGTCTTTTTTTAAACAAGGATATTATTTCTTTTTGAGTGATGTGTAATGTTTATTTGTTACGATTATAATCTTCATTCAAAATTGAGAAATTCAAACATTTAAATCTAATCATTTCGTTTTATGTATCAGATGAACTAACATGAGGGTTTATATATGTAGTTGATTTATAATTTTCCCGTTAATATTGTTTTCTATGGAGATAGTTAGGTAGATAAAATGCCTTGTTAGAATATCCGTTTGATGACTCATTGAAAATCAAACAGTAAACTGAGCAACTACTACTTTTGTTTATTTTCAGAGTTCAGTAAAAAAAATATAAACTAATAGATTATAGTTTACTTGTAGGAAGCAAATCATACTTACTGTCAAGTGTGAAGATGTTCGATTCGGTTTTGATTAAGATTGTAGATGTAGAGGAGATCTAAACCACGAACAAAACAATTTCTAATTGTTATCTGATTGATGTACATTCGTGCTAGAAACCGCTCTTAACCTACATTATCCCGCTAATTTTTAAACGTCATCAAATTTATTATGAATCAGCCAGCCAAGATGACTTCATAGACAGTATTAAGATGAATTGGCTTTTAGATATAGGAAATGTGTTTAAAATTATTCATGGAGAGATAAAAGTTGACTAAGAAGGCCAGAGGCTTTAAGAATAGAACAAACATTCTGAGGAAAACCCTAAATATATAAAGTTGCTAAGGAACTGACGTAAAAGTAGTTTAATATATAGTATATATACCGTTTGTTTTTATTGATTAAACATATCTGTTAGACTCGCATGCTTAAACTATTATGAGTTCACCTTAGTCGATAAACGAGAACGAGACAATGAACCAGCCTCCAGGTAGGCACTCTGATCCGTTGACCCAAAGGTACGTACGAGAAGTTTTGATATAGCGAAGAAATTGTATTCTACCAACACCCAGCCAACACACATTGAATCCAAGCACACAAATCGCGTTTGCTTATACGCCATAGAAACGTCCTTGTGAGAGTCACAAAATCGCATACTGAAATGACACAGTAACCAATTACAGCCAAGGATTCTCGTAGTGGGCATGTGATCTCAAGGTCAACTGCTCAGCTCATGAAATAAATCCGACATAAAGATAATTATCAAGCGAGTTCTGGGAATCTAACATCCCCAACAATATCATTCTTTAGCCAAATAATTAACTCTGTTTAGAGAGTCATTTAATCTACCTCTTGAAAAGTATAATATTTTAGTGGCCTCCTTTATGACAGTATCACCACTTACCTTATTTCACAGAATCATATTCCATTGGATCATTGGGATAAATGAAACTAACATTAGATGTCATATTATATGTCAATGTCCCGGCACTGTTTATTAAGGTTACTGTTGTCAATTATTTCTATTAAAACAAACAATCTATCCTTTATATTGAAAAGATAATGACCTTACAAAGGATCTATCCTGATAACACAGAAAATTGATTTTGTGTTCCGAGATAAGACTGTATTGAGACCAGGAAATTTTGGACAATTTCATGACAGGGTCTAACTATAAAGTATTAGGCAAGTGTTTTGTTTGACTAAATACACCATTACACATGTAGCTGATTGTTAAAAATAAAAATAAACCATGCTATCATTTTTGACAACTTGATTTTCGCAAAATCATAGCCACAAGAAAGAAAAGTTAACCTACAGGTTAGTTTTTGTAGAGTTCAAACAGTTTTTCACAAAACACTTAGCGCCTTTACTTCAGATCTGTCAATCATAGTTACATAAGATTGATCAAGAATAAAAATTAGATCAACACATTGTTTATGAGGACATTGTTAGAGATTAACGGTTGTTTTCATTGGAAACTGACATTTAATTCTGGAGTGGTCTCTTGCGAGATTATGGTTATAGGCTGCTGAGGTGCTCTAACTATAACGAAATGGATATCACGCACCTCTTGGTTTCCTGTAGCTCTCCAGGCAATATCATTTTATAACAGAAACCACTTTCAGACTATCAAAATTTCCTAATAAAATACAGTAATAAATAATGACTTTATAGTGACTAACAACTAAATTCCAATAGATTTCCTGACTTCCCAGTTGGTGTTTGTGACTTTAAAAGTCGATGAACTTAATGATAAGTCAGTCAATTACCAGTGAGATTGGTTAGTGATAGCACTGTTCTGAATTAACCCAAGTAGGAAAAATTAGTCATTAGATTCTCACTGGGAGGTTGAAATAGTTCATGTATTTTACCAGGTTCACAGTGTTTTACAATGTATACTTATCAGTGCATAATACTGAAGTTATTTAAAATTTAGTTGTCTTTAGCTGACGTCGTTTTGTAACAAAAACTACTCTTCAAGCAACAGAAGAAGTTAAATGCTTTATAATTCATATTAAACTATGTACTACAAGATAATTTTTAATTCCAATTTACTCATACTACATGTCATACATTTCACCGCACTGTCACCTGTACTAATCATTATGCATTTTACTTCAGCTTGATATTTTACTAATAGAATGACTTATATAACACATACGACACATATTTATATTGACTAGGGATTATTTACTGATTGATACACTACAGATATTTACACAACTAAACTTTGCCCCTAATTTTATACTTATTGGTCAAATATTTATTTCAAAATAGGTTTTCCTCATAACTATCAAATCGTTTAAAAAATAATTCACTCAGCTGAAATTAGCCAAGATCAATATATATATATATATATAACAGTGAAATGAAAAGCTCACCGTTTTCTTGAATTAGGCATTTTTGCGTGCATTAAATAGTTAACAATAAACAGATGACAATTAATTCCATCTAGTTTTTAAATTCATTTAGTCATAAATATTATGTTTAATGTTACCAAGTCAATAGTAATAA